GCCTAAGATGTACTCCTCCGTTATATACTCATCATTAGACAAACGAAGCTAAAAAGATAATACTGTATAGAGACCATATGGTTCATGAACATAAGATAATATTGCATCTAAAAACTTACGCAGAATTTAAAGTATTGTCTCTCGCCGAGTAAGCGGCAGAAAGAGGCTTAAATATAACTACGAAAAACAGCAAGATGAGCAGGCAACATAAATACCGCGTACTTATTTTTTTAACACGATAAGTTAAAATTAATGAATTGCGTTTTTTATAATACTTTGTTAATTAAATGTATTTTTAGTTAAATGAGCTCTAATGAGGAGTTACGAATTAAGGCGCACCTAATAAAAAATTTGATTTAAAGATTGCGTGTACTTGAAGTACAAGGACCAAGTATACTAGTTATAAACATGTTGTTAATAATATGCGCATATGTAAATAGCATATAAAACCTTTAAACGCACCCGATATCTAAGTTTATAGTAAATTATTTGAACGTTTTGCTTATACACAGTAAAAATATAAAAAAACACGATATTCAGATTCGTTTTGTTTAGGTGCTCAAGAAGAAAATATTAGTAATAATCCAGAAAAATGTTCATTTGATGTTATCAGAATAGGCTTCTTTTTACTTAGAAATACTGTATAAATTAAGGGCGCTTTTCAAGTAATAAGTAGGGTCTACAAAATATTTTGGAATCTGGATACTTTTACAAAAGGTTTTTAGGTTATCACTTCTAGGTTATAGAACCTTAAATTGAACTCCTTAAAAATTTTTCGTTTTTTTAAGAAGAAAAGAAGTTTTTCCGAAATATAAAAAGAGATTTATATCAGCGACCATATAAAGACACTTTGAGCTCATTTCGGCGTTCTTCTCTTGTTTACACGCGCTCAATTAAAAACTACTAGAAGCGCGTGCGATACCTTTTTTTGCAATACAAGCTTCAAATTTATTGATAAAGAATGAAAGGTAGGGGATACACCTTTTGGATTAGTAATGAAGAATAGCCCTGGATGAATTTGAGACCTAATGCACTTTCGGATCTCCCTTCATGTTGCATCGTAATTACATACATATGTATACGACTTCGTATTTCTAACGCAATTATCTGGAGAAGGCCGTAAAGCTCAAGTTATTATTTAGTTATAAAGATGGAAGGATTTATGCCAAGTAATATTTTAGAATTTTTGATTTATCATAATGAGAAAAATAAGGTATGTTCTTTTAGCTTACATTAGGTCTACTCTAACTTAGGCATAAGTCACTATAAAGAGCTCAAACGTGAATTAAAAGCGGTTGTTTTTACAAACCAGATTTTATTGTGATCGGTAACTATATTATAAGTTGCGGCGTTCGTCAAAGGGTAAAAAAGATCGTCACCATGAATCGTGTAGACAGCTTCAGCCTCCTCCAATATCAACTAATTTTGGGTGAGACCTCTATGGATTTCCTCCTCTTCATGCGTAACTACCAACACCACAATGGCCGTTAAATGTTACCATTTTATATATATCACTTAGCTCTTTTATTTTAAAAGACCACAAATTGTTATATTACAAACACATTAAAACCCACATGATAATGGGCATCCCAGTTTTTAAAAAGTATTGACTCATCTTTCAAGTTGCGAAGACTTCTTATCGTCTTTATTTTATCTAGAAAATGAAGGCTTGTAAATTAGCTAGCTGAGCTATATTATAAGCCTTTCAGAAATTATTTATAGAATTACTGGCTAGCACATCCACCCAACGCTTATTTACCAACCGTTGGTACACTTTAACTCTTTGTAAACCTTTCATTCGCAGTTCGATGAGAATAATTTTAGACTCTTTCTTGGTCCAGAAGCAGACGCTAAGAACTGACTAACATCGAAAATCATGTCTAAATTAAAAAGCCTACTAAAGATTATACAATAGAACAAGAATATCGTTCTAAATAATACGCTAAGCTATCGACTTCAAGATAAGCGAATTTGTACTACTTGACCGTCCAAAAAAGCTACACTTAATTTTATGGGCCATTTTAGATAGAAAAGATAGGTCTGGTCGCCTTGACCAACTGGTTATATCTAATATAGTGAAGATCTGTGATGTATTTATGTTGATTTATCAAGAAAGTGAGCTTGTGTCATAGGATACGTTTTAAAACTCTTGCTAGAGGAGTTAGACAGTTTAATATTAAAAGATTTTATTAAGCTGGTACGCTAAAACACTAAAATAAAGATGTGTAATTAGTGGACCACAAGGATTTTAGTCTTGTCTAGTTAGGCATTGTACAATATTCATTGCAGGATAATTATGTAAAGACCAAAAGAAACTAGAAAAAAAAATTTTTTTTCGACATATTCTCTATAGATAATTATTATTTGAGCAATTTTTAAGATGAATCTTACCTTTCTTATTTTAATTGTAAAATTTTCTTTAACGTTATATTTTGTCTATAATATGACATCTGATGTGCAAACTCCTACGCTTTTCTATAAAATTTTAAGAGATATGAAGGTAAAATGTTTTTATATTATTTTAATAACTTTTATAATAGGCTGTGAGAAAAATTTAAATACAACATTTTTCATTAAGTGCACGTTAAGATATAAACTTTTTAAACAGTGCCGTGTTTCTGAATAATATCTTAAAAAAAAACTACTTAAGTCACCGGGTTGACGGGTAACGTAAATTTTTAAACTGACTTAAGGTAGCTGCAAGCTTGCAATTTTATTGTAAAGAAAGGCTTATACTAAAAATCTTTAAGGTTATAAGGACTAATAAATAGGCATAAAATTTTAAAAATGCCTTGATAAATGGTAATAAACCGACAAATTAACAAATATGTAACTGCGTAATTCATTTTATCATATTTCGCTCGGTGCGTTACTATCTTTTGGTGATTTTCTGAGAAAAGTTTGTTATAAAAGTGGTTAAACTTTTGTCTTTTGAGCCACAGTACTTGGGTAGAAGATAGTATTTTTAGTAAGGTTAAAAAAAATGACATATAAAAGAAACCTTGCAACTTACCTCCTTTAATATCAATATATTACCAACTGAACTGTTTAGCTTTGTATCAACGTTTTATCTAATTTTTGCCTAAAGATCATTTATGATGTACCCAATATTTTATATGTGGTTAGTCTGGTAAGAAAATTTAATTATTTAACTTTTAATGATCGCATAAAACTTAGAAGAAAGTTTGAGAATCTAGGTTCAATACATAGAACTTTTTAAGGTAACGTCTTGATCATTAATAAATTTTAATTTTTTAGCTTTTTAAAAATAGTTTTATAAAAATATATTTTAGTCTCGCTATATAGCTTTAACACAGTGCTCTACTGTGGTATAGTTTTTTTGCTGAGTCATTCTATTGCTCTTATAAAGTGTTCATTTAATTATATGGTCGCTTGCAAATATAAAATACGTAATTACTTAAAAAATATTGACTATTAAGCATCCATAAGTTATTATTTTTCCATGAAACCTTTGCCTAACAGCAAACATGTATCATATCTTTAATAAACAAGCTCAGAAGGCTTTAGTTTTCTACACATCTTTTCTTTAATAAAAATAAAAAACTACCAAACCGTCCCTTCAGACTATGGAGGGTAAGTAGCAAGGTAGAGACGGTCTACTATTGGTAATTCTTTTCTCATTATACGAGTTTAGTAAAATCTATGCCATCAACTGACAAGGGTGATGAATTTAAAATAATGAAGAGAACAAAAAATTTGCAGAAATAATACTACAACCAGTGTTACAGGGAACTTTGAGGGTCAATACTGCCCGAGGACCTTCTTTGATCAAATTTTCTATTAGCTCTCTGAATTAGTGGTTTACTGTTACTAATATATAAAGATACTTTTTTTTATCTATTTATTTAAGGAAAATCTCTGAGTTAAAGGAAATGTTTCTAAATAGGGTTAGAATATTATTTTAGTTGTTCTCTCAAGTCAATTTATTTGATATTATCTTTTTCCTACTAGCATTATCAAAAGTTTTGACAAAAATTATCCATAATATTAAAAATTGTTTCTTTAGAGATTAAAGAAGATATGACTATTAGTGTTACGACTGGGAATAACATACTCAAGAATAAAAGCTAAGATATAGTTCCTGCATTAGCTACTAATATAATACAGAAAGCGGTTATAATTACGCTTAGAATCAAAACACTCTACCACCCAACCGAATCCCACGTAGTGTTGCTAGCCAGTGCTATCTCTGCTAACAAACCCTGTCAGAAAGTAAGCAGTCTGTAAACATATTTTAGTTAAAGTTGATGCCATTCCAAGCCAATCACAGTGCTAAAGTGAAAGTTGTTCTTCCTACGGATTGGTTAAACGGCCGTTTATATGATCTCTCAATACTGAAATCTTGAACGCCGCTGTTCTATAATAGTAAATTTCTTTGCGAGATGGTCATATTAAAGTTATTCTATATAGAATTAATATATGAATCTAGTTGAATAAAAGCCGTAGTTTGCGGCCGTAACAAGTTTTTTACTTCGTGTCTTGGGTATGCTTTGTGATGTTGAGTATATTAATAATATAAAGCTTGAGCAAGGTTATTATGTGAGCTTTTATTTTGAAATTGTTAAAAATATCTTATTATTACAAAAACTCTACACCTTTTACAGCCTTTATTTTTTAAAAAAAATAAATTAAATTATAATTAAAAAGCATTAGTCCAGTATTAAATCTTTTTATTAGCAAAAACAAAAGGAAAAAAGGAATCGAAGTGTTCTTGCAAAATTTAAACCTCTAAATTATAAGCTTATGAATTATTAATTTACTCTCACTTATATTATAACAATACATATTTGGCAGATCCTTCGAATTTTTAACTTAAGTTTGAAATATAATAAAACTCTTTTGCTTTTGCTTTCAGATGAAGTAAAATAACGTTACTGGAAGCCTAGATTTTACCTAATTTCCTTAATATTTTTTTAATACAGGAGGATTTGGTTTTTAAATTGCTTTTTCTTGAGCGAGTTTGTAAAGTATCCTTTTATTAAGGCTAAAGAATACAAAACTCGAATAGGCGAAGATTATAGGTAGTTTCTTCGTCTTAAATAGATAATTTATTGTTAATCTTTGATTAAAACCTTTTTTTATGTGTTATACTTAATATATGTATAAAAAATATTTTGATTTTGCCTTAAAATCTACTTAATTTATTCTCTTATACAGCTTTCATTAAGTAGTTCGAATACTGGTATTATCTTTTTTAAACTTTTTAAACTAAGTATTTTTGTTACTAAATTTTGCTTGTCCTTAATATTTAATATCCGGCTGCGTTTAACAGCTTATATATAGACATTAACATCCTTCAAACCCATACTTATCAACTACTGAAAGTCTCGCTAAAATCGCATTTAGTATCTTAACTTAGTCGATCAATAAATTTCAAATTTTTTTATTAATTTGGATTCTTTTTAAATATGCTAATCTAGTTAATAGTTATTTTAAACACTATTTAGAATCTCTTAGAAAACTTAAGTTGGCTATTAAGAATTGTGAAAAGGTGAAAAAGAAAGTAGGCTATAATAAAAAAACTTTTTAGTGACCTTTCGCCCTCGTTAAAATGATGTGCGCTTTTTTATATATTAGTTGTACTTACCAGGTGTAATCCATTTCAGCAACATAATTTATTCTATACTGAGCGGCTTTACTTAGTACACTAACGTCCGCAAGTGCGTATTGCAACCATTTCGTTTTTGAGTTTAGTATGATTCCTGTAAATATATTTTGAAACTTGTGCACAATAGCATTCCCTTTTTGTTGATGCTGATGTCTGTATATTTTGGGATTAAGGGCTGCCTCTATACTTTTATAGGTTACAAGTAAAATTTTTTTTTTCCCTTCAAGTCGTGAGCCTTAATTTTATTATACGAGAGTAGCTTCCGGTCAGCTGCCTTATTGCCGTGAGTTTCTCAATCAAGAGGGCAGTGCCTACCAATCTTTTGGCATGATAGCGAGCATTCCGTGGGCTATGAAAGCTTTGTTCGGAGCCATTTCTGATTCTTTGCCAGTAAACGGGTACTTCAAAAAGTGGTACATTGTTCTTTCCGCCGTTCTTGGTACCGTAGGAGTTGCATTAATCGCAGGGTACACCTCTTAAGCGCCTTTTAATACACGCCCGATTTTGCTTTACTGTTAAAAATGCGTTGATAGACTGCAGTTGACCTCGTTAAAGCTTATTGCGGCAGCTTTGTTTTTTGCAGTCAATGCAGAAATTGCCATCATTGATCTGCTATGCGAAGGTAGATACGCCGAACTTATGGCGAAGCATCCACAAACTGGTTCTGATTTAATCTCCTTTGTTTGGGGCTGCGTTCAACTAGGTCTCCCCGTCCATTTTTTGATATTAGACACTATCAAATATCGTACCCTTTGTAGGAGGCCTTCTAGCAAGTTTTCTTGTTGGGCCTCTATCCGATGCCGGCTATATTAAGGGTTTTTTATTTAGCTTAAATTGTAATATGCTTTACTGAGATTTTTGATTAGAAATGTTCTGGTTATGCGTACCTTTAGCAGCTCAAGTCTTAGTTCCTACTTTATTAAATTTTTTGGCTGAAGAACAACTTCCAGCACAACTTAGAGGTGTCACTGATTTTATCAGCTCATTAGTATCTTTACTAAGTTAGTATTAAGGCCTTCAAGTTGAAAAGATTGCCAAGCATAAACATATCTTCATCCTTGCCTGTTTGCTAGCATTTGCAGCTCTGGGTAAGTATAAAATGTTTATACGATTCAAAGTATTCTCTTCCTCCTGTTTTTATCGTAGGTCTCGCACTGGTCACCTTATTTCTTAGCACTCGTGCAGTTTTATCCTACTCGATTATTTCAGCTGCGGTGCTATGTTTTCTGTCGTTCAAAATCCTTCCTTCTCTTCTTGCCAAATGCAATTTTTACATGTTTATAATAAGCACGTTATATGTGCAAATTACAGGAGCCGTTGACTATTTTTACGTTTCTAACAGCGGTACGCCTCTTCACTTTAAATTATACTTAATCTTACAGATCGTTAACGCCTTGCAGATTGTGTGAAAGGAGGGCCCTCCTTCGGGTACACTTACTACACCACATATAGCACTATAGTTCAAAATTTATTTGGGTGGGTAGGCGTGATTATTTTCCAGGTCAGTCTAATTAGTAAACGTTGCCGTCCTGGTTAGCTAAGCTTAGGATCTTTTTCTTTAGACTTTCTTAAGCCAATGGGCATATCGGTCTATTTTTTGGCTTTCTATGCTTTTAAAAATAGCTGGGGGGATGGTGGATCTTATAATAGTTAAACGGTGGAATAAGGTTATGGCTTTTTTCGCTCTCGCAGTTATGTTATGTTAAGTTAATGCGTTTAACGAGTGCTTAATTACCCACCAAGCTAAAATTTATTTAAAATTAAGAACTCGGTTCTTTAAAAATTATAGTTATATCTTACTATAAAAAAGTTGATTTTCCATTTTTTAAAATTGTCGCTTATTTGAGGGCCTAAAGCATTTATTTTTTTTTTGGTGCCTCAGAGACTCAGTGCTATTGCGCGACATGTAAAACTTAAGTTCCGCGTGGTTAATACCATTATAATAGTAATAGCCGTTGTCTAAGCTAAGTTTATCTTCTCAATTCACAATATGCAACATATAAAAAAAATACACATGAATATATTAATTTAAAGTCATGTCTTTAAGTGAACACTATGACAATTTGAACTCTTTTCAGTTAGATATTCCCTTTAGCGCTAAGAAGAGCTTTAACGTATCGGTCTCTTTTTTGGTCTAACTTAGTGCTTTTTTTTTGCTTGAATGAGATAAAAGTTAGTTAACCTGATTTCGAAAGGGTATTTAATTCTACATTCTCGCTTTCGTTAATGCTAGCAAGTGCAGCAACTATGCTCGTATTTTTGCGCTAAGGCCATCTCATTTCAGGAATTTATCCCCTAACTGAATTGTTTAATTTAATATTGCAAACTGAGTTTTTAAAAGTCATTTTTATTTAAATCGTTTTTTTTTCTTGCGAAAAACTTTCTTCGTAAAAAGTAACTTTTAATTCTAATCATTTGACAATTGACTTCCACCTCTAGGCGCTAGGAATTTCTGATAAATTGATGTACATGCTCGGCTATAACGTGGTTTACCGTGTAATGTTATATAAAATTTCCAATTCGCTTCTGTCTGCTCTAATAATATTTGAAGGTCGTCATGATGTTTGATTTTCTTGCCGGCGTGGTACTGACTTCAAAATTATGTCCAAAAAATTTGGAGAGTACTGTGTACGCTCTTCTTGCAGGATTTCAAAATTATGGAAATGTAAATTTTTTTAATACTATTCAGACTCTATTAATAAATAAACGTATGTAATACGCAAACAGAGCTTATCAAGGTCTTTAGGTATCTTTTTTATCGACCTTTTGCACATACGGACCGTTTCTCCTTGCAATTTTGATAATTTGCCCGGACTTATCATATTATGTCACGTCCTCTTGCCACTTCTCTCGCTTCCTCTCGCTTTTCTTTTAATTCCCAAAGCAACTCTCACTGACTGCCTTTTAGCCGAAGATGACGAGATAGAGCAGTCGACTGATAGCCTTCTTGACCAGAGGGAAAACGTTTGCAGTGGTAGTACAGGGAGCTGCCAAGAACTTAACGAAACTAAACTTTCTAATGAAGAAAACAAGAATTTTATCGATTACTAAATATATAAAAATGACTTTCGATATCTGTGCAACTAAAAATAAGTTTCTTTTTAGCTCGCTAGAAAGGATAAAGGTAATCGAACAACTGCTATAGATTAAAACTGCTTAATCCATCAGTTTATAATCAGCGCTTTCCGGTGTCCAAGATAGCTATAGGACTTAGTTAATTCAATAATTCCCCCCTCAAGCTGGGCGTCACTTTTTTAGCACGGTAAATTGCCCTGCTACCCCTGTAATTTTATTTATGCGCTTTTATGGTAATTACTGATATGTAAGTTATTATCAGAATTCTGTTTGTAGGGGTGTTGTACACTTAACCACCTAATAGAAAAATGCGAATTGGCACCGACGGGAATCGAACCCGCGACCTTGAAACTGGGCGACAATGCTCTAACCACTGAGCTACGGTTTTAAGTTACTTATAATGAAAGTCAGTTACTAAGGTAAAAAGAGTGTGTTAGGACTCGAAATCGTGGAGAAAAATCTATTAAAAATTAAGAAAAAATTTAGGGTTGAATTAAAAGGCTCAGTTTTGGACAATAAATACACATCGCGCATAGAATAATACTCTCGCGAAAAGTATGATTAAATTATTATATAAAGAAATATCCGTTAATTAGGTTGCCTAATATTTAATTTAAATTTTTTAAATATATTTCTTCTGCAGAGTTTTATCTGTAAAAGTATAAATACCTGTTTTCATTTCATGCCTTCATATTTAAAAATTAAATAGTATTTTGATTATTTTACGTTTTACTTCGATATAAGCTTATGTGGTAAGGCGGGAGCCCTTTAGACATTATATCCTCTGGATCGTTGACAGCCGATTTGAGTGAGATAAATATAAAATACTGGGAGTTTTCTTGTTCTTTCATGTAATAAGTTGCTATGTCCACCTGGCACAATTTTTTTTATTAAAAGTAGCACCCCTTTTTTGTACAGCTCATTGTTGGTGTAAAAAGTGATGTTGGCCTTTCAAATTACATATTTTGTTCGCCTGTAGTTTTGTGGGCTTTATTCCAGTCAGCATTACTCTATCCTAGCAAGTTGTCTTTTCTTTAAAATTTATTTTCAGGGTATTGCAATCTTAAACGCTGATATATAAACCTCAATTTCATTTAACTTTTTACGGATACAGCTATAGATATATGGTAAAGGTATGTGCTACGCGACCAAAGGAAAAGTAGAGGCAAATATAATGAACGCAACTGATTGTCTATTATAAGTAAACATTCCGCTAATATAATATGCAAATAATAGTAATTGGTTAACTATGGCTGTTTGCATAAAAAAATACGGAGTAAGGTCGATTCAAAGGCTTTGCTGTAAAAGGTTACCCTTTAAGCTAAACTTCTATAAAGTTTCACATTAAAATTTCTCTTGAAACTTTCTTTCAGTTGATAGGGCCGAGTGGCTTATAATATAGGGAATACATATCCACCTGAAATTTAGTATAAGGCCATCGTCTTTAGAAAATACAAAAAACATTTTTTTCTGGTTTATAAGGAGAAGCCTAACGTTGCTTTTTAATTGAGCAATCCATCCCCTACTAAATCGAAGCAGTAACCAGTTGCATTAATTTAATTTAATTATACTTCTCGTTTTCATGTATGTCTTTAAAAGCTAATTATATGTAAGCGGGTCAGAAGGAAAAACATCTTAAAAGTATGAGAAACAATAAATAGTGTGCTGGTATACCCCTAACCTAAACCCTAACCTAACCGCTCAGAAATAAAATTGCTTTCACTTCGATTTAATAGTAAAAGTTTTTGACAAGACCACTTTAAAATTTCTTAATTAAATGGTACTTCGAGTGGGTTATCCCTAAAATTTAAAATCATACACTAGAGAGTAGAAATAATAATACTTTTAAAAATTGTCAAAGCAGCATTTTTTTCTTTATAGCGACCCTAATTTTTGGTTCTTTTTCGTTCTCTTTGACTTTTTCTGCCTTCTTATTTATTCAGCTGCTGGTATATCTTCATTAATAATGAGGCGCCTATATATAACTATGTGTGCTGTCAAATAATCTTAGCGATAAACTATTTAAGTATTTTGCTATTAAGTTCACCGAATTTTGAGCATTTAATTGGAGGTAAATAATTTTAAAACGTTGCTTAATTTTTCAGAATAACAAAGCTTGTGAGAAGCTGTTTGAGCAATGTACTATAATTTGAAAAAAAAATTTCTATTGAATCCTTTCGGTTCCTGGTAAGGAGGAAGGAAAGCTTTCTAGTTACTATTTTTAATAGTAAGTTAAACTATAAATTTTTTAAGTTCATCGAGAAAACTGACAAAACTAATTCACTTCGCCTAATTGAAATTTTCTTTGGTATTTTTCTCTTCCATTTTAGAAAGATTTTTTTGTTGCTTAGAAGAATCTATCGCTAATTCCAATTTTAAAAAATTTGTTCTTGTTTTATTATGAATCTCGTTGCTGGGTTACATATTACAGTATGAAAAGTTACTTTTTAACACCTTTATTGTCTTCTTATTATATTTGGAAATACCATTCTTTCTATTTTTAAAACTGTCGTCAAGTCCACACAGTCTGCAAAATTAACTTAGCGCCGTCTATGAGAACAAATATTCCGGTAGGCAACTCTTCGGCTTCCCGAAAGTTTTCACCGAACAATGTAATTATATAATTTTATCCTTTTAAAAAGGGCAAATCAGCTAGCCAGACCTTTTTTAAATTAATTTATATATCGACTTTTTTTTCTAAAAAGTAGTTTATTATTAACACTAGTATCAATATAATCAAGAAATTGCCACCGCATTTAAAACTTCTACTGGCCTACTTGTCAGTGCGGAGTTCATTGTTCGAACTGATTTTCCTGGGATTTAAAGCAAATTAATCCGGTCGAAAGCTTGGATGGAATAGGCTTCATCTTTAAATGAAAGTACTTTGGAGATGTGAGACTTTTTTTCAGTTTTGTCTTCCTTAAATAAAAATCCGAGTGTTTACCCTTAGCAATCGTGACAATTGGCGAGCAGCTGGTTTCCTTTTCTGATTCGCGCAAAAATTAAACATTACATACTTCCAAAACCTACAATAACTGCCTATTAAGTAAAGAGTAAATTAGATGCATCTCGTGATACTTTGTTTCTTTACTAAAAAGGTTTTGCAATCGTGTAATAAATGTAACTTCTTACAGCTTGTGCAAAATCAGGTCGAAGGAGATGATAGACAACTTCCTTACGTAGCTTCCGTTAACACAGTTCTTTTTTTCTATAATTCTACTTTTGCTATTACGCATAAAAAGTCAATATTTCACATTGCCAATTCGTCGTAATGCGCTTTCCATCTGGCAGACCATCTGCTCCTTTGCGTCTAAAAAGAAAGTTGCTATAATCTAGTTGATAATAGTTACCACCGACTCTATAGTTAAGGTGGTCATGCGGTACACCAAGTGCCATCAATTCTCTTAACTTTTGTTATATGCGCCCAGAAAACAATTAGAAAAAAACTATGCATCAGCAAAAGTCGTCTTTTTTTTATAAAAGAGCTGAACTAGAGGTATCTACCTACCATTTTGAAAAAAACTAAAATGTCTGCGGCCTTTAAAACTTTTATTGAAAATAAAGCCGTGTTAACAATAGCTACCTCTGGAGACGCTGAAAGGTTTTTGTAGAACAGAGACTATATTGGCACCTAAAAATAGCAGGAAACTACCTTTTGCATCTTTTATTAATATACGCCAAAGAAAAACAGAAAACTATTCATTTTCTTCAACCGCCTCTTACGAATAAAGAAATACTTAAATGCGCATGTGGCCTATATACAATAAAAAAATGTTAAAATATTAGGTGGCTAAGTTTTTCAAAACACGTATTTTAACATTTTTGACTGAAAGTTTTGGGTTGCAACGGAATTTTCTTCAGCTTAGCTTTAACACCCTAAAAGTCATTCAAGCGCCAATGCATGTGCATAAGGGTTAGGAGTATAATATTCGCTCGCTATTTGATTGAGGAAGGCATATTATGTAATTCGAAAGCTTTTTTTTGTCTTGCGCGAACATATTGAACTCATTTTACTCTTACAAACGCTTCCACCCCTGTCACAAGTACCCAGTAACAGTGAAGACAGGAGACTGAGAAAAACCTTATAAAAAGGTATATTAACCATTATCATGAATAGTGTTAGGACACCTTAAATTTTTTATCAAAGTAGGAACCTTTTTTATTAAGCGTGCCCATATAATTAATAATTGCTCCCAGTTTCCATATAGTTTCCATATTTCGTACGAACCCATATTGTTAAACATTATTTAATATCGATAAGACACAATCCAAACGATAGGCTTTCCCCCAAGTTTATTGTAGCCACTAGCTTGGACAGCAATGTGCTGCTTGAGAGAGGGCGATGGGACGTTATTTACAGACGTTGACTTTTTTTTTGAGGGACAACAAATGTGCTCCCCAAGTTGAGCGCGCCGTTAAGCGCTCTTTTTGTAATCGGAAGGCTGCTCACAACTGCGTAGTTGAAAGTTTTCAGCAGCTCAGGCCTTACTTAATCTCTTTTCCTGCTAAGTTAGCATTTAGCTTCCATTTAAATAGTAGCGGTTTGCATAGGGCAAATTGTATAACTCCCCAAGTGGGCAAGCTTTTCATAAGACTTTCCTATTTCTTACCACGAATGTAAATTCTTCCATGGTTTAGCAGTTAATAACCCATAAATCAACTTATACATGTAAGTAAATAATTATTTAAAAGAACATTTATAAATTAATAAAATTTATTGCAGTAATGTAACTGGGGCAATCTGTGTTAAGAGCTTAGCTGCCTGCCTTTAATCTATCAATTTTGCAAGACATAGCGATTTCCTCAAAAGAAAGTCTACAGTAACAAATTGAATTGCAAACAACTGGCTGGGGTGTACTCCTGACAAGTAATTTTGAATAAAGTAGCTATGTTTCCACAATTAAGCATCTTATAAATCTGGCCATCTTGAGAAAAATAAAATAGTTTAAAGTCCATCAAAACCCTTAAAAGAATGCATTTTGCTCACACCCTAATAAACACCTGTTTAGCCTCTGGGACTTATTATATGTAAAGAAGCGAGCAAGTACTTTGTATATAAAATTTTTTGTTCTTTTATAGTAAAAAAGAAGCACAAATTAATAATCTAAAATATTTTGACTTTTTAATTTACTTAAGTAAATCATTCTCACGCATTCGAGCCTCTGTAGTAAGAAAAAAAGGGAAATGCATGAACTTACAAAAATATATGAAGGATTAAGTATGTTACGAAGCATATTTTCGAGTCCACTCCTTGGCAGTGGTCTCGTATTTTGATCTATCGGTTTTATAAATTTGTGCTATTTCGGGTACCAGCGGATCATCAGGATTAGCATCACTTAGTAAAGAGGAAATGGAGAGCAGAACTTTTGATATTGAGAGTGCTGGCGACCACATATCTTTTAAAATGTCCATGCAAATGCTTCCATTTTGGTTAATGTTCGGGTGGTATATCTTGGTTGTGAAAACTACACGCGGAGGTCTGAAAGGATAATCAGTAGGAAACTGAATATCTAAAAAGAAAATGCCTCCTTCGTAAGGGGAATCAGGCGGTCCCTATATAACAAAACTGTCTTGTCACTTCAAAAGAATTTACTTAAAATGCAAAAAAATAACATATAAGAGCTTAATAAAGGAAACAAACATAAGAAATAATAAATGGTGTGGAGTCTAGGTTACAATAGTAAGCCAGCTTATAGTAAACTTACTGTTATTGTCGCAGTCCAATTAAATAAATCATCCTCTTTAGAAGGGCCCGCAGTGCAATTATCCGGTGGATCTTTATAGATGTCTTTCAATTCTCTTCTAATCCTTTGTAAAGCCATGTTTTAACCTAACTCCCTTTAATAAATAAGGATAAAGTATTAAAAAGAACCACTAAAAATAATAACAGAAGTGACCTTACAAAAGGTTGATTATATATTTAAGGCAAGCTACAGCAAACTACAAGGTAACGCAGAACTTAGTCTCACCAGCCGGGAGTAAGCAGTTGGTACATTTAAGTAAAGGGCACGTCCAAGCTAAGTCATACATATCTAGCTTAGTTATTCGGTATTAAAAAGTTTTTTTGGGCCGTATATGGATTACAAACGGATTTACAGGTAGAAATTGCCGTATTGGTCGATTATGTGGTAATTAAAGGTCAAAAGACAACACCACAAAAAATTTTTTCGAAATACAATTTTTTTTTATAGTAATATTAAGATTTATAGGTTAGGTCATATGGCTATTATTTTTCAGCTAAGCTTTAATGTTCAGAATTCTTACATTACTAATCTTAGTCAAATAAACAAAGATATTTACCGTGCAAAAACCTAATGTGGCAACGGCCGGACCAAACCCTCAGATACTACGCTACTTGTAGACTACGTGCTAAAATATAAAAATTAGGTTGCGCAAACTCCAATGTAGAAATCTTTCAGCCTTTTATATGTGGCCACCACTTTTTGGCGTAATGAGAATTTACAATAAACGTGCCCATTTTTTAAGTTTAAGCCTTACTGGTGTACTTCTTACACTTAAACTGTAGCTTCTTTTTTAAGCAAGAAGAATAAAAAGTAGGACTAGTTTATTTACTGCTTGACACTATACCTCAAGGCAGTTATATCACGACAAGTAGTGCATTCCAAGTTTGTATTTAACCTCATTTTTCTTTACGCGAAGGGCATGGAAAATAATGAAAGTGCGCAGATTGAACCTGAGTCAAATATACTTGTCTTTATTATTTAACTACATTTTATTTGCGGTATAATAAGTAATTATTATTTAATTGTTTGTTTACAGATAAGTAGCTCATGAGAAAGTTGTAGGTTTTAAATGGTGAAGGTGGGTATAAGCTATTAAGTAATATATTTTAGAGTACGTAAAAAGCTAAAAGCCGGGGTCACAAGTTAGTTGTTTAATTAAATCTTTTGAAGAATATCCTCAGTATATTAAGGTAAGGGAGGGGAGGGGAGAGGGGAATGGTTGAGAGAGGGCAGCTCTCAAAAAATCTAGTTTAATTTTTTAAAAATTTTTTTATACCTTTTAAGTGCGAGAATACTATCCAGCCATAACCTTTCACGCCTATTGTTGAATGCCCTACATTCACTTTTTTGCTATTTATTACCCAGCCTGTAAACTAACTCGGTTAGTCATTCGTGCCTTCTTAAACACTTTTATAACTCTTAAAGAGATAATGCTTTAAAGCGACGTACTACATATAATAGGAATAACCAAAACAAACATCTTTTCGAAAAAAAAGAGGTTGGGTCCTAGGTTAATATAGTGTGAATGAAATTGTAGGACTGGCAAGAATATACATGGACCCCTTTAAGATTAAACATCAACGACTGCAGCTGTTATAACGTTTGCTTATTTTTTACGCACTGTCTACAGGCTATCACTAACCCGAAAGAAAAAAGCGTGCTACGTTTTTATTAAAGCGTTCATTTCATGCTTTCCTTAATGAAACGGCCCCCCCATCCATTATTTCTCATTATATCATTGTGGAAAGCTTTAGTTATATTCTATAAAGTGCTTCCACAACCAGTTTATTTTTAAGTCCGTAACTAGCTCTTTTGCTAGTACTCGATTAGTGTGCTTAGTAAGCTGTACATTGATGGAACTAACATTAACCGGAGTTCAAACTGGAGATCTTACTGCAAAGCATCGTTTCAAACAAATCACGCCTCGCCCGTCATGACGTGTATCTGATTTTTTTGTTTTACTTAAAGCTGGGAGGTTAATGCCGACGAATCGTATACTGGGGCTTAATACCTTATAAATGATTTCCTGCCTCCTCAAGGTTGGCACATCCACTTTGTGGCGTAGTGGTGAACTTAACGTCGTAGAACTAGACAAGAAAGGGTTATGATTGGCCGGACGCACAACACATACAAGCGTCACTTGTTGTGTAAAGAGAATTCGCCTTTATCATAGAGTAAATTGTTTAAGCTCCGCCTTGTACCTTCCCCACTATATAGTTTAGCAGTGGCCTCCAGCCAACTTATTGTCAATAATGATCCCTAAAGATTTCGCCTGGAGGTGCCCCGGGGTTAGCAGTAGAATTAATACGAAAGGAAAACTCTCCATCCAATTAGCACATGGCCCCTGCGTCTCGTTTTCTTTGCCTTTGTGCTACTTTTTAGTTCCTACTTTCATACGTTATTAACACCATGCTCTTACCAGTTTTCTATAGGTGATAAAATAGAGCTAACAGAACATAAAAGTTTTTTTAAGTGGATAACAATACTTGCAAGAACAACCTGCCTATATGGCAAACCTTACACCAAAAATAAAATATTAAAAGAAGTACATATAAATAGGTACAAGTCCATATACTGCAAGGTGCATATCTAATTAAAGATAACTTAAAAGCAAGCGGTAGAAGCTGTTATATAGTTACGCTTTAAAAAAAACAAAATATGTACTTCAAATAAATATTGCCTCGTATTGCTTGAAAGGCTACGATCTTTTTTATAAAGTTCTTACCCAAACATTAAAAAAATAAGAATGAATACAAAGATAGATGATGGCGATTTTACCCTAGAAATTTGAGTTAATTATTGGTGTCCGGCTTACGATTTCATAATACTAAGGAAACCACAACACACTTTGGACAACCTTAAGAATATAAACAATTATATATCTGTATTTCAAAATAATAATGGGCATGTATATATGACAACCAAGATCAAAATTGTTATGAACTAAAAGGACAAAACTGGACAACTAACTCAAGCATTTCATGATAAAATTAATGAGGGGTTCCTTACGAAATATAACGGATGTAAATAACCAGATGTCTATTGTAAAAAGAGTTCTGGTATATCTATACAAACGAAAAATGTATACATATACTTAAATATAAGGAAAATGGAAATGAAAGGTATACTAATGAGTGTTACACAACTGGTACTGAGCGGACAATTATGACTTTCGCACTATAAGAAAACACTATTTTTCATGAACAGATCCCTTACATTTTAGCGAAACATCGACTAAAGTAAATATTAAAAATCGTTATGCATACCTGAATACATGGTCTTAAGTAAGGCAATAACCTATATATAAATAAGATAATAATTATCAGATGAAAAGTTCTACACGGGTAATTAGGCAGTAAAAAATATTTGTAGAAAGGGTGCAGCTAACAAAAAACTTAGCGGAGTTTTCGCATCACCATGCTAAACAAGAACAATATTCCTTAAAAAGCAATCTAGCAAACATTTTTATAAATACACTCTTCAGACAGAAATATAAAAATATAATTGAGAATATACAAACTATTCCTTAATATACAGTTATAATAAGGTACAAACACGAAAAAGACACAATAAGTGATTTAAAAATAAATTAAGTTGGATTTAAAAGCTTTATTTGTTGTAATAAACAAGAAAGACAAAGAAAATAAATCTTAGGTAAAGATTATTAGTACAGCTAACTGGAGTCTCGTTTTTCTCTCCCTTGTGCTTTTAGTTATTCTTATTTTTATATAGTGCACTTCTTCGCGGCAAAAGACGCTTAGCTTTGTTTTGTCTCAAGAGTTTTTCAATGACGATACCAGCTGGGGTGCGTCACTAGAATAGTACTGGTGCAAAAAGGCGGTGACTTAAACAAGAAGTACATCGCAGTAGCATTTCGGAGGCTATACGAGTATGATAATTGTGAGGCTGTGTCGCAAGTGAATAATACAATTTATATTTATTAAGAATTTTATTTATAATTTTTAGGGCCCCCGCTGTAGGTAGTTTTAGGGGATGGGTGATCATCGTTTACTTGTGTACTAATAATGTCATTCTAAGGTAAGATTTGAGCACATTAAAGCAAAAAAGATAGGAAGGGCAACGGTGCGCAATTTTTGCAAGTCCTTGTGCTAAATTTGGTTAAACGCTTTTTTTCGGCTTTAAGAAAGATACCGCTTGTTGCTTCTTTTTACATTTGGAGAGGAGGGTTATCTATTCTGTTGGGTGGAGGATCTGTTGTGTCAAAAACCGCATTCATGCAACCTAGTAGGATGGCTTCAGCTATCTGGCAAAATGCACCGGAGAGGCTTATTGCGGTTTCTTCATATCCCTCACAGAAAAAGCCGTCTTTAATCGCAACGAAAATGAGTCGAGGACTACCGTCAAGTTAACGAGGTAGTATCGACAATCCACCGAGATCATCACGTTGGTACCGTGTGCCATCCGTTTTGATGGGTTTTTGATTATTTCCTCATTTTGAATGCAATTATCGGTTCAAGTTACTCTTCAGCATCAGCGAGGAAGTATGATTGACAAAGAAGATGACACGCACTCAGCAGCAAAAAGAATTCCTTTGTTTACGTCTTCTTCCGTCACAAATTGTTATCTCGTGGGAGGTGTAGTGCCCGGTTTCTATAGTTCTTAATAAACCACCAGATAGAGACGCGGTTGTTATACAAGACTCTTTCATTCTGCCGGCTGTAAAAGGCCAAAGCTCTTTCCTAATGTGCAGTCTATTGACCACTTATAGTTACTTCGGGGCGTTGGGACATCATGGCTAGGTTGCGAGGGCATCTACGCTCGCAACTAGGACCCTCAATCCACCTGGCAGACAGCTAGAACGGGATCCAAATTCTCGTGCCTTGGGGTTTGCATGGTCACAGCACCTTCAAATCTCGCAACAGCAAAGCCCAACAGAACAATTGCGCCGTTAGAGTCAGAAATGTTGAAAGGATTACCTCGAAGCACCTGTCGTATTAACCCTGTCGGCAAAGACCCTGCTATATGCCCTCAATGTCTCCTTACCATCGCCCAGCTCAAGCATGACCAGTAGATAATCCGATTAAAGTTCGTAAAGAAACTCAACTGCCAACTGTGAATTTATTTATTATAAAATGCGATTAATAACATTTTTGCTCATGAAAAGTGTTTTAGCTATAATAATTTTTCTTATCATCATAATAATGCCTAAAATTCGATTAGAAAAGCTTGCTGGGAATATTTGAAAGTAATCGCGAGGCTGTAACCCTGAGGAATAAAGAATAAATTGTATCCTTATAAGTAATTTTAAATTGAGCGTCAAATTGTAATCTTAAAAAAGAGATCATACCAAATTTATTATCCTGACTATTTTTTCTTAGCTAGTGAGTATAAAGTAAATTAATACTAAGCAAGCAACGAAAGAAAATAATAACACGTGTATAAAGAAATTTAAAGCTTTTGAGGCAGAGATTTACGTTTTAATGTTAGTGAAAAAGGCTAATACTGTTGTGCGTTATGTCAGGATCTACCAAAAAATACTATTTGACCAGAGTAAATTTATAATATACGAGGTTTTCAACCTCTTAAGAATGAAAAAAGTGACCTATTATATGTCACTTAAGTGCTTCTACCTAGTAAAATAAGATATACAAAAGTCAAAGGAAATTTAATTAGATTAGTCTATGTAGAAGCACCAATAATAATAATATTGATAATAATAAATAAAGCATAGGCAATATTAGGACATTAGTCAGATAATATATGGAGGACGCCTTAGACTCAAAAGAGTTACGCCTCTATCTTTATAAAGTTTGTTAGAGCTTTCCCTTCGCTTAGGATCAAAATAGAGAGTTGGTAATGTTTTAAAAGATTTATATGACTACTTCTAAACTAATGGTTATAAAAGGAAGTCCGAAATGTCTCAAACCGTTTAAAAATAATTGCTTACACCAAATTAAATGCAAAGGTATATTATTGGTTCTGTTCTATTGTAGGTCTATAAAAAATTGTAAATTTCGACAAAATTTTTAAAGGATTAAATTATTAAGCATTACTTAATTGTTCCTTAGAAGCGTCATATCGGGGATGAATTACGATTGTTAGTAAAAGCGTCTGTAGAAAGAAATAAATAAGTAGGGTTTTAATCCATTAAAAAAAGGCATGGAAAGTAAGGTTATTCGGTGTAGTACCCAACAAACTAAATTTTGATAACTCAAAACTAAAATAAAAAAACACATGTAAAGTTTTGTGTGAAAATTTAAAAATTTTGAGTGTTGTCTTACGAATCCAAGTCTAATCTTGATATTGGATAAAAGACGGAGAGGGCTGTCTAGAGTGCTTGAATACTTGGAAGATATATTAGGAAATAAGCTCACTCAAGCAAACCGCGTAGCAACTTTCCTGTGCACGTTTCTTTAGATAAATTAACTAAAGATAACTTAACGGACAAATGCTTGTTTTTAGGATCCCCTTTCAGGGGCTAATACTTAGCAACGAAAATCAACAAACTGCAAATATATCGAGACAAAAATGCTAAGAATCTTTTCGAAAGCATTTCAAACTGTGGACTCACTACCTCGCAAGACTTAGCAATTACATGGGGTTTCTTAAGAAGGTAAACCATAAAAACTTTTTGAAAAGGGCAACCGTTTGTTATAATTGTATAATTTCATAAAATATTTAAGACGGAATCACATATTTAAGACGGAATCACATATTTTTTATTCCTTCCCATCATATTTAATTGTTTTGCAAATAATTACTTAATACGAAAGATTTAACATACTTAGTATTTATTGCATTTTGTTGTAGAAAATATAAACAAAAATGATACATTTTATTTATTACAGGAGCTTTTGTTTCATTTCTACCGGTAGGCAACCTCGCTAACTCTCAGCAACATATAATCCTTGTTTAAATATTTGCTTAAAATCACTAATATTTGTCTGTCACTTGTTAAAGAGGACCTAAATGTATGTAACTGCTTTTTTTTTTTAAACTCGCAGTTTTAAAATTTTTCTTTTTCTAGATATTTAAGATCAAATTATTTTTTCTAGCACAAAATTAGATATTAAAATAGTTTCTTTGTAATATCGGTCTTTATTTAAACATACTTTTGTAAAACACAAACTCTTTTTCTTTTAGAAGTCTGCACTTTCGCACAGGACCCCTGTAATATACTTTACCTTTAAATCCTATATTCTGGGGATTATAAGAAGTTTTAATTATTGACCTTGCCAGACACTGCTTCTATTTCTGAAAACCATTAATTTAATTCTCTTCTTTAAACAATTATATTTAAAATTTACTGCAAGACAAAAATCTACCCAAATTGGTTAACTCTGCTTTATTAATGCTCCTGCACTAAGTGCTAGACTCGTAGAATTTTAGGATAGGAACCATTTGCTTTACTTTGAAGTTACGGTAGATATACGACTGGACGGGTCCATGTACACTATCGTACAATATTGTTTCAATGTTAAGCATCTTTTCATTTAAAATAGAATAACTTTTCAATAACTTAATGGATTCCTTTAAATTTTGTAAACGGTAATCTTCTATGTTCTAGCTACATTTTGTTAATACTTGACCTTAAATTGGTTTAATATTCGGAAAGATACGAGCGCGAAAAATTGAAAGATTATAGAATCAAATGGCAAGTAGAAGAATTTTAATTATAAACGAGGTTTTAATAATTAATGTAGTTCTCTTTTGCCAGAATTACTGCATGTATCCTCTTTAGCATACTGCAATCAGATTGTAGTATTGAACCGGTGTTATATTTTTCCATTCTGATTGTACTCGTGTCCAAAGCCCATCCAAGTTAGCAGGAGCTGATTCGTATGATCTCAATTTTCTCTTCTAGATCCCCCATGCACACTCAGTGGGGTTGAGATCAGGAGATTGCGGAGGTCAGTCTAGCACACGAAACGACTGGTAATTAGAGCCATGATTCGCACCGATAGTACAGTGTGACATGGGATATTATCCTGGATAAAAACCATTCACCAAGACCAAGACCTAGACCATACCAATCGCATGTTCTCGGTAGGTCATTATTAATAATGTCTAAATACTGCTTGCGGTGATGCTCCCCTGTCATTTTTCTCAGATATCCCGCCCCCTTAGATGTTATATAGGACCAAATCATAATCGACCCTACCCTATGTTTATACGTTTGCACCACCTGGCGATCAAGTATATGATTATCGCCTGGTCGCTCCCAACACCACCTATATCATCTGAACCATATCGATTGATCTTGATCTCTACCGAAAAAATTACTTTTCCCAGTCAGAAATGGACCAGGTTTCGTACTTCTTCACAAACTCAAATCTTAGTCATTGTGACGGTCTGTCAAAGTGGGTTTAATTAACTTTTTTTTTTTTCGCATGGAGACCAGCAGAGTGCAATGCTCTCGATACGGTTGTTGTTGAAACTGTCTTATCTAATGTTGCATCTATGATTTTTGAAGCTTTCTGTGCGGAATCAATTGCACCCAATGTCACTTGTCGTACAAGTTGAGCTACCTCCCGGTTTTTCAAGATCTTTGGACGCCCAGGTTCATTGAAAGGACGATTTGGATCATACTGAGCTTTGATCCCGTATATTGTGGCCTTACTTACACCACATTCACGAGTGATCACAGTATAAAGATTGCCTTTATCTAAAAGAAATTTTTTCATCATTTTCTTAATCGACTGAAAGTTTACGCATTATTAAATTAAGGTCTCTAAAAACTCTCTTTTATAGTCACTCAAACGCTTTAAAAAAAAACCCCTATGATGGAGTGATCATAATCTCGTATAAAGA